CTCGATAGTGAGACCATAGCATCACCTGACCATTCATCTTTGAACAAACCAGGCGTACAGAGATCAAACTTAGCTTCCTCAGTGATGTAGTCGCGTGGGAATCAATCGTACTTGTGCTCCTTAAAGTGGGTCCGTAGCTCAGGCTCAATACAGTCTTAAAACGGATTTATCACAGCTGAAAGCGATATAAGTGGAATCAGTGTCCATCTCCTGATACTGGAAGTCAGAGCGACCGAAGTAGAAATCAATGCAGTCATAGTAAAAATGAAGCAGAACTGGAACATGCGTAGCATAGCAAGCTGATAGATAGCAATTGACAAAATAATTGGGTACTCATTATTGAGTCGACGCTTCTTCATCGTGATTTCACACGCATCATTAAGCTCCTCAAGACCATGGAACGTAAATTTTTCGATCTTGTTTTTATTAGCTTTGTCGCTCGACTCATACTTAACCTATTTGTGCTAGCTCAAGTCCATTCCAGATCGACCAAAAGCACTGTTGCCTACCAGCTTCATCATCTCGGCAATCATCGCCTTCGACATATCAACATCGCCCTCTCGTCAAGCATTTGATACAGTCTCCATAGAGAAGGCGAAAGCCTTGTGAGACTGGCCTTGACAATGTAGTAAGTCTTGGTTATTTCGATACAATGAGAAAGGTACCAGTTGAAGCAAAGGAATGTAGATGAAAATGTTCTCGCCAAAGTAGCTACCAATCAACTTGCGAGCTGATTTTGCTCGGCTTTGCTTGCGCGCCTCATTGTGTTCGATCATATGATTAATAATGTCGCTCTCATTTGTACAGCCGATCAGTACATTCTTGAAAGTTGGAGTCATCTCACCAGAGTACTGTTTGAGGTATTCTGGTATTCGAATATTACACTCGTTAAAGCCGAATACCTTGTCTGCGATTAAATAGATAAAGTGTCTCTGTTACAGGATGATAGCCATCCATCATACGCCTAAACCATAGTCAATCGACCGCATGGCATCTCATTATCAAGGGCCCCTAGATGAAGAGCGTTAGCGTCATATCCGATAATTTTCCGCGAACCTTACCACCGCGAATCGTCGTTTCATTACTCTTGGTGTAGCGATTGAAGATAATAGATGGACCTTCAGCAATGTTGGCCTTCATCTGAGAGTAGATATCCTTCCCTACTTTTCGATTGAGTAGACCAGTCTATCCGGGTTGAACACAAGCAACTTTTTATACCGAAGCCCCTTAAGCTACATGTCGTTTCGAGCGGTGTTGCACTTGACGCGGCTGACTAAGATATTACCGTCGATGTGGCCAACATTATTGTTGATACGATCCGCTGAAGCAGTATCAGCAGTCAGCTGACAGTAGCAGAGACCACACAGATACTTTTGCAATTTCATCGATGCATTCACGTGCTCGAGTGTCATACCGAATTTCGATTGGCCTTAGCATCCTGACTCTTGTAACCAGCCATGCGCTTAGCTGAACTTTTGAACGCGTTAGCAGGTTTCTTATCCGGAGATTAGAGATTATTAAAGCTGGTCCGGTACATGACCCTTTCCGAAAGACTCGGTAGAGACACTCCATCCGCAAACATACCCAGATCGAAGCGCTTAAATAGCTCTCGCTGAGCCTTGATAGCTTTGGTGAAAGAAACTACGTCGAGATTATTGTACCGGATCAGTAGGTCTTTGATCAATTTCATCACCTAGTAATCTCACACGAGCTTCACTCGTTCGTAGTCATCGCTGGTGATGTTTAGTCCACGGAGCTTGCTATCAAAAAGACAGGATAATCGTCTGGTTTAGTACATTGAACGCAATGATGTACTCGTTAAGAAAGAACCCTTACCAAGACCACAGACCCATTTAATTTTTGCTATCGAATTTGCAGCCACCGAGATATGTTGTACGATACTTATCGTAGCTGGTACATAGTTGGTACATAGTTAGTGATATCAAGAATTTTATGTCCGATGTAGCAATGCACCTGTAGCTGGGATTCTTGATGACAGATTTGATGTTGTCGGTACCAACTACGGCAAACAAATCCTTCTTAATCGAGTATATATTGTTTCGACCAGAATAAAATTCGAAGACTGGTACATGGTCAAGCTGCTGTTTCAGTTTCCCATAATCGGACCTTTGCTTACCAAAACCTAGACTGCGGTGAAAGTCAAAGAAGCTGGTATATTTCTCCACTTCGATCCAACTCTCCACATCGAACATCTTGAGGGTCTTGCCTAGATTGACTACTGGAAATTATCAGACCATGAGCGTCGATAATTTTTTGTAGAAGCGACATATGTTTTCGACATTATACCGCTGAATCTTAACCGATACACCACCAGTGCAATTGATTATTTTCGTTAGTAGCATCTTCGGATTGTCATTTACAAAGCAACGCACCCCTTCGGTTAAACTATCAGCTGCTGATACCGACACATGAATGTGTTCGATCGTAAAGACAGTATTGTTCCCGTGTTGAGTCACGGTAGGCTTAAGAATGGCCTCATAGTCATAACCGATGAAGTAATCAATGTATTGGCCAGCAACCTTGATGAAATTTTCGTGAGCAGCGATCGTATCGTGTTCTGAGCCGGTTTATATATATTCGGCTCAGTGGAGAAGCTCCTAAAATTCACAACCTCGCAGTGATTTTTCTTGTGATTTTTAAGTATTTCACTACTCACGTAAATCATTTCACACTTGGTAAACTGAAACTTAGATTATCGGTATTTTTGATGTAGGGATCGTGATTTTTGTGTGACAGAATATCCATAGCTTCATACCCCTTGTCCGACCTACGGATGCGTTCGACATTCCAGAAGCTACATCCATGCTGTATACGTTAATATTGGGCTGGAAGCAGTCCTCAACCTCATCGAGCTGTAGTAGGTCAATAGGATTGAAGTTCCTAAAATAGACTCAGCGTATCCTAGTGACACGATCGTACCGGCATAGACTCCGCTCCTACGCAAGGAGATAAATTTGCGGAATGATTGGCAGTACGATTCTCAGTGCAAACGATCTGAAAGATGGTTTCTACCAGTCAATGCGCAAGAATTTTTTAACACTAAATGCAGTTAGTATCGCCAAAGGTATGCGGTGGGAATGGTGAGTGTTACCACTCGGCTTAGAGAGCGTTTCTACAACCTCTTACAGAATCATCACGAATGCTCTTCGTTTGTCGAGGAAGTTTGCACCGAGCTACCTTGCCGATAAATTCGTTTTTATATAGAATGAAAAGGGGTGAGAAGTCTGAAATCGTCATTTTATTGATCATCTCTGTCAAACCGTCCAAGGTATGCGAGAGAGCAAACTCGACTTTTACCTGAAAAGTGCATATTCTTTATACAAGAGATCCTCTTTCTCGGCTTCAATTTGTGGGCAAGACTTGCGATCGTGATATCAATGATTAACTGGGGCCGACCAATGTGAACAACTGAGACAACGGCTGGGATCGGTAACCTTTTTTGTACAGATACATGCGCAATGATACAGCGGTGATGCAACTCCTAACGGCTTTTGAAAATAGAAGGTTGGGTGGATGATGCAGTAGATATCGGCGTGCAGATTCAATAATACTGATCGTGCTAACCGAACTGATAAAAACTATTCAAGCGGGACCTCAAACATCTGGCGTTGGAATCGACAATACTCCAAGAATATTAAAAGCTGAAACAACGTGAAAAACCTGGTTGCCGAAGATCAAGTGGAGGCGCAATTATGGTTTAAGATTTTGTTGCGTGCCAATCCTAACTGGGTAGCGCTTCGAAGTAAATTAAGCGTAAAACCGGTAAGGATGACGATACATACTTTATTGGTGAAAAGGGATCATTAATTGCAGCCAAAATGGGTAGAAAGAGTAGGACTTATCAATCGATTGACTGTGGTGGCTTCAGAGGCGAAGATTAGGGACATCTGGTGTGATGGCGAGAGTAAATCAATCGATGAGAGCAGTTATATGAGACTTGAAGACCCTCTTTATCACGCTGACGCGAAAGGAATACTTAACGATCCAAGTGAAGGTAATCATGCAGGCCGTACAAAGCAACGTCTTGAAGACAGCTTCAAGTTTGATACATCGACTCTAACCTCATAAGATCAAGTTGATAGTAAGAATTGATTGCTTTGGTCTACTTTTTAGTATAATGCACTGCTTGAGTCGACTGGTTCGTAAAAATAATCATTTCTATTTGTATATCTCATCGTACGATTGCATTGATTTCCTGACGTGTGGCTAGCAGCCCGCATGTCCCACGGGTCTTTCTTGTATGGATTTCCATCTTCTTCACAACATACCGAAATTCTGGTACTTCTGGAATTTAATATTACAGCAAAGTGCAAGGTCTCGTTAATTTTCATTCAGCTATTGTTTCAGATACAATTGTACCTATGATAAGGTGTAAATACAGCAGACATACCCAGTAACTCTCAATCCCAGACTAAGTGAAGTGCACAAGTGTAATGAGCCATACCTAGCCATTACATGATGGTAGACAACGGGGTTGCACGTACCCTGGTATCAAGGGGGTGGGTTAGACAAGATGGTGTGGCCACACCTTAACAAAACGCCTCTACGTGGTGGATTGCCAGTACTTATGCATATTAATAATCTATTTAGTTTAGAAAACAATATACTTAAATATAGACGGCTCTGCCGCAAATAGAGCAAAATAATCTGAACGGAAGATTTTGTTTGCCTTAAATTAAGGTTTTGGTAACTCTTGGAGTAAGCGAAAAGCGATCCGCTACACTCGTACTGGTTCTAGTTTAGAATGTAAGATTTGTGACCTTCGCTTAGCTTCCTTAAAGGAAAAGATCTTGTTGAAGGCTATTCAACGACTTCCTGTAAAATTTAAGTCCAAATTTTTTATGGGGGGTTTTGCACAATGATTGAATTCTTAGTTGAATTGGTATTATTTATATTTGGTGTAGTGATGCCTGACTTGGAGGGAAAAAGAACGCTTAGGGCTCGATGGTCGATTTGCACCTAGAGTATAATGAGTAAATGAGATTTTTACTACTTGCAAAACACTCCCAGAGTCTTAACTATTCCTACCAGTCTGGTTCGTCGCGGGGAAACGACACCTCCCAGTAGGCGCGGGGCGTACGGCAGCCCCACTGCCTGTGTGATTCGTATCCCTTTCGGCATGCGTTGTGGGTACAAATAGCAGAGAAATTACAGTACGACAAATCCCAAAAAATCATTGGATGATGTCACGAATTATCTCTGGAATAATCGGTATAGAGCATTTATCATTGTACTCAATAATAATTCCTACTTCGAATTCTCAACTGGTGATGAGCCCAACGTGTCAACGAAGACTTCAAGTTCAAGTTTTCAGGGTTCATCTGGGTTCAACCTCGGTAGGCCCAAGGTATGATAAATCAGGTTCGTAGGTTTCACTTCTGCGTGTGTAAATACTTTGTAGAACCTTTAGGAGCTTTAGTGTTTTTTAGCATATAGCTTCAAGCATCTCATTTGATTCAGTTCAAGGTTAACTTCATTCCTTTCAAGTCTCTCTCTCAAGTGCGAGTGTGCGTACCGCGTTTGAGGCTGTTCCGGATAGCCTCAAACAACAAGTGCGTTTGTGAGCTCGGTTTTATTGAGTTAAAGCTTCCTCTTTGGGGCGTACGTGATAACCTGTTAAATTTGGAAGCACTTGTGATAAATTTGTTGATGAGGTCTTGTAAGAAATATGCTTAATGTGACGTTCTGTTTGACTATCTAACTTTGAGATACCTGTGCACTTTAAGCTAGGCCTTGGCCCCGAGACTTAACTGGCGGTATAAGTGCCGAGAGTGTGAGAATTCGCTGGCAAGACTCCTTCGGGAACGCCTCGGCCCGGTTTTGATGAAGCCACCACCGCATCTCACCATGTGACTTTTCTGCCAAAAACCTCCAATAGTCGAAAAAAACGTGTATCGAACAAGAGTGATCGATAATTGCCAAATGTTCCAGACAGGCTTCAGCGCGCCGCTCTCCAGTGCACGATTGTGCGCGAGAATGGACACATACTTGCAGTACACTTTTATAATGTGGGAAGTGTTGAAGCAACAGATGTCGTAGGCGTTCTAATTAGGCGTACCATGTGCAATCAAAACTTCTTTACACTCGTCACAAGCGGTGGTAATTAGCGGGCTAGGTCTAATTACTAAGAGCTCTTAGCGACGTGATAGCTTTAATTCCACTCGAAGGCAAAGCTTTGACCATCTTCACGGAGAATTTCCGGTTACTTGACAGAGCCTTCTATTTTGTTTGAGGATGCAGTGGGCGTCACATTTAATGGTGAATCGGAACTTCTGTACGAACACAGTTTATTGTCAGATATGTTCGGTGTCAGAAAGTTGATATACAAGTGACACATCGCGAAAGCGCTCGCCACTGAATCAAAAATGCTGAGATCAGTACATATAAAGCAGAGATAAGTAATCGACTCGTTTACCTTGCGCTTGAGTGAAAGTTATAAGTATACCTGGCTCAAATTTTATAAAAGAATTTTGCGAATTGCTTTTTTTTAAATTGCAATTGTAACGCAAAATCGCCCTGTATGCCCTCCAATCAAAACGACGAGGTTTGATTGGAATTGCTGGCCCTGCCAACATTGCGTTGAGCATGGTCATGAAGCAGCAGGATGAAGAATTGGTGATGACTATTGCATCGGACGAAGAACTTTCCGATGCTGAGGAGAGCTCGGCGTCGGACACTTCCGATGAGGAAAAGGATGTACGACCACAGCAAATTAATGAAAGCTTCAGGTTCGACGATGATGGTGCGTTGCTGGGTGGAAGCTCATGGGACTTTACAGCAGCCATCTCGCGCATTGCTGATATGGAGGATGACAATCCAATTGCCACTAAGCGAACATCCACCCAGTGCAAAATTGACAAGAGGCGAAAAGAGAAGGAGGCCGAGAAGAAGAAAAAACAGGAGAATAAACATCGAAATCTAGTGAAAGAAGAGATTGTTTCAGTTGAAGCTGAAAAGCAAGAAGTGACAAGCCACAGCGGGAGCGAGAATGAAGATGAGGGCGAAACTTTCTCTGTAAACCCGATCGAGCAGGTTGAAGAAGAGGATATCGTGGAGGAGGAGGAGCGACTTCAATTGGCGCTTGTAGATAGCAAAAAGGATCGTCAGTCTCGAGGTGAAATTGTTGACGAGTTAGAGATGAAGAAAGCAGCCGAGTTTTTTGAAGCCGATCCGTTTTCCGCGCAGGAATTTGCCAAGACCAAATTTGAAACATTTGACGATCTGAAACTTTCACGCCCAATTATGCGGGCCATTTCACTCATTGGCTTTGAGAAACCAACGCCTATTCAGCAGCGTGCGATCCCTGTTGCCCTGACTGGCAAGGATATTTGTGCTAGTGCCCAGACGGGTAGTGGTAAAACTGCTGCCTTCTTACTGCCCATTCTGGAGCGTCTGCAATTTCGCTCGCGTCGTGTGCAGTCAACTCGTGTGATGATTATCTGTCCCGTGCGAGAATTGGCGACGCAGTGTCAATCGATGTTCGAGCAGCTGGCGCGTTTTACAGATATCACATGCTCGCTAGCTGTCGGCGGATTGCCTCTTAAGGCTCAGGAGGTTGAGCTACGCAACCGCCCCGACGTTGTGGTTTGTACGCCTGGTCGTATGATTGATCACTTACGTAATTCCAAAAGTATTCACATGGATGATCTAGAGATTTTGGTACTGGATGAAGCTGATCGTTTACTCGAATTGGGATTCACCGAAGAAGTTCTAGAGCTTGTTCGCATGTGCCCGAAACAACGCCAAACGATGCTTTTTTCTGCCACGATGACGTCTAAAGTCGACCAACTGATCGATCTGTCAATGAAGCGTCCTGTGCGCATTAGCACTGACCCACTTTTCGACATGGCAAAGCATTTAGTGCAGGAGTTTGTGCGAATTCGTCCGAATCGTGAAAACGACCGCGAGGCGATCCTCTTGGCTTTGTGTACGCGAACTTTTCGCTCCAATACGATTGTGTTTATGGAGACAAAGCTGCATGCGCACCGCATGATGATAATCTTTGGCCTTGCTGGCATCAAAGCCGCAGAACTTCATGGCAATTTGCAGCAGAGAGAGCGTCTGGAAGCGCTTCAAAAGTTTCGTGACGGTACGGTCGATATTCTTCTCTGTACTGACATTGCCGCTCGAGGCATTGACGTGCGCGGTGTCCACGCCGTCATTAATTACGAGATGCCAAAAGACATCACGACGTATGTGCATCGTGTCGGTCGTACGGCTCGTGCTGGCCGGAATGGTCGCTCTGTCACGCTTACAAGTGAGTCACGCCGCCTGGTGATGAAACAGGTGTCGCGTCATTGTCAAGGCTTTGTCAAGTCTCGTGCCGTGCCTGATCCTGTTATTGCACAATGGAAAGCGCGTATTGAGAGCATGGAGGAAGACATCAAGATGGTCATGCACGAGGAAACACTCGAGAAGCGCATGCGTGAGGCTGAGAAGGAAGCAACTCGTGCAACGAATCTGCTAAAGCACCGCGACGAGATCAACGCGCGACCTGCGCGTACGTGGTTTATGTCTGAAAAAGAGAAAAGGGATGTGAATAAGCGTGCTGAGGATGACCGACACGCCAAGGATGAATTGGCAAATCAAGCAGCAGACTCTGTCGAAACCATATCTCGCGCAAAGAAGTTGAAACTGATGAGTCATAAAAAACGTCGATTGTTCGAGATCCGCGAGCGGGAAGAGCGAATGCTTGCTGATGCTGCTCGGAACGAGGACAAAGAGAGTGGAAAGAAGGATGTTGGTTTCACGTCGATGCACGTTGCTGGAGCAGCCAAGCGTGCTAAAAAAGCTCAGCAAGAAACGGCTCGTTCCCGTGAAGAAGAGTCTATTGCAGAAATTCATGAACGAAAGCGTTTGAAGCGCGAAAAGACTCGCGCTGCACGTAGCAGCCATGGATTAGGTGCGTTCGATGTTGATATGACCACGGACAGCAAAATCGCATCTAAGTCCAGAAAGCAACGGGAAGAGAAGAATCCGTTTGAATTTAAGGAAAAGATCACCGATTTTAAGAGGCATGCGAAAAAAAAATCAGGCGCTTTCAAGTCTAAGGCCAAGTACAAGCGTCGCAAATAGTTAAGCAGACAAGCGCTCTGGTAGAATCGTACAAATTGTATATTTCATTCATCCTTCCTTCACTTTGTTCTCAGCCGTAGTCCAGTATGGTCTACCAAGAGCAAAGTCATTTGCTGTCTTTTCAGATCAAAGTCGATATTGCTGCTACCGCGCTTGCCAAACTAAAGTCCAGCCACATGTCGGGTGAGTATTTTCGCAATCTGCTGAACTTAGCCTCCCACTTCTAGAACTTGATTATGAGAGCGCCTAGGCAAGAAGGCGGTTAAGCTTCGCAGCTAAAGCTTGTAATCTCGCTCTTTTGCTATGATATTCTGCGCTGATGGGAATGTCAGTGTCACTTAGATCGCGAACGCCTCTGAACCGAAGCATCAAGAAGCAGCTTGTAGTGTCTCCAACTTCAAGCATTCCCTGCTTCATGGCGGGCTGTGTTTCGACGAAGGAAAATTGCGGGCGAGCTAATCATTTAATGGTGATCTTCTATTAGTGTCAGAGGTACAAATGTGTTCACAATGTGTATATAATCTCTTTGTTGAAAATTTTGTTAGAAATTATTCAGATCTCTTGTAGAGAGATTTTGTCGATTGGCCATTAGTTTGTGATTCACTAGTTCTTGCAATGCCGAAGGACAAAAAGAAGCGTGCTCGCAATGTGGGCACCGCTTCTGCAGCGCAAAATGCTTTAGGTCGAACTCTTGCTACGCCTAATACAAATTTAGGTCAGCATTTCCTTAAAAACCCAATGATTGTGACGCAAATAGTGGCTAAGGCAGCCATTCGCGGCACTGACGTGTGTCTTGAAGTCGGTCCCGGTACTGGAAATTTGACTGTGAAGCTGCTAGAGCAGGCAAAGCGTGTTGTAGCCGTAGAGTTTGACACGCGTATGGTGGCGGAGCTACAAAAGCGCATTCAGCACACCGAGCACATCAACCATTTGCAGATCATTCACGGAGACGTCATGCGCGTGCAACTGCCGTTCTTTGACGTTTGCGTGGCCAATCTGCCTTATCAAATCTCGTCACCTTTTGTTTTCAAGCTACTAGCACACCGCCCCATGTTCCGTTGTGCTGTCGTAATGTTTCAAGAGGAGTTTGCCAAGCGTCTCAGTGCCAAGTATGCCACAATATCGCAATATTCATTTCAGTTCTGTCCTGCCATTGCTTACTCGGTTTAATGCGACTGATGCTATAGACCTAACGATGAACTTTATTGCCGATTATCGGTGAACACACAACTACTGGCTAAAGTGGATCAGCTGCTTAAAGTTGGACGCAACAACTTTCGTCCGCCGCCTAAGGTCGAATCGCGTGTGGTTCGTATCGAGCCACGCAATCCACCACCACCTGTTAATTTTACCGTGCGTTTTGAGGTATTGTGTATTTGTTCTAGACACCATGGCTGACGGCCTTCGTTGTGTACACAGGAATGGGATGGCATGATTAAGATCATATTCAATCGAAAGAACAAGACGCTGCGCTCTTGTTTCGTCACTAAGTCGGTTCTTAAAATTTTAGAAGAAAATTACAAGACGTATTGCTCGCTTAACAATGAGGTAAGAATGTACTACTGTATATTCAGTATTTGATTAGATTGCTCAATAAAACTACGTATAGCTTCCGGAAGGCGACATCGATATCAAAAAGAAAGTCGAAGAAGTATTGGCCTTTGAAGACTATGGTTCAAAGCGTGGAGCCAAAATGGATCAGGACGATTTTTTGCAGTACGTTGCACACTGGTGTTATAACATTGTTGGGAAATCAAGAAGTCCTCACTTTTTTGTGTGAAGGTTACTGGAGAGATTCAACGCCAACAAAATTCATTTTTCATAGACTTTTGACATTCTAGTCTTGGGCTTGTGACGGCATATAGAATAGATACTCTTTTGTCGCTGTGTTTGTTCACTTGTGTCCGTTATTTATTAAAGTGTGCAAAAATAATCACGTTTACTCGCGAGGAGTCTCTCCGCGTACTGCTGCCGTACGCTTTCACGTGGAAGTATTTCATTCCGTGGGCAAATGGAGCGTGAACGAGGTAATGATTTGGCAAATGACGACTATGGACACAATCTTCGTGGCATCAAACAAGTCAAATCGAATGATAACGATCGGGGTCGTCACCGTGATTGGGATGAAAGCGGTGTGACGAGTAGTACAAGCACCCGCCGTGATTGGGAACGACATCATGACAAGCACAACGACAAAGATCGCACTCAAGACAATGGTCGCGATAGAAATCGTGAACGTGACAGGCACCGAGAACGTGATAGGGATCGAGAGCATAATCGAGACCGAGATCGAGAACGTGACAGACACTGGGATCGTGATAGGGACCGAGACCATGACCATCATCGTGCCCAGAACAGTCGAGATAGGGAACAGTATCACGATTATGATCGTGACCGAGATTACAGCAGGCGCGATTTTTTTTCTGCTCGGTACAGCAGCTCTTCATTCTCTCGTCCAGCCACTTACGATCCTTGTCTAGCTCAGCGAACGCAGCGGCAAGTTTTTCGCGATGAAGGCAGTGAGGATGATGAACGTAACGAAGATGTGATTCGTCGAAAGCAATTGCAAGACGAGTTAGGTCTTTCAGATGACGATGAGCAACTCCTTAGCAATGGTAATGCTGAAAACGTGGATGCCTCCAAATGTCGCAATAGCTGTTTGGCTCGCATGAAGAAGCTTCAGAGTGAGCTGACAGCTGCTCGTTTAGCAGAAAAAAAGATACAAGAATCTTTATGCAATCTACAACTATTGAGTAAATCGCAAACTGCTATTTTGAAAGCCTCAATGAGTAAGAAGATGCAGCTTAAGGATATACTGGTTGAGGATATGACCGTCATCATTAAGAGACTCGAAGAGCAACTTGGGGAAGCTGGAATTAAGATTGAGTCGTGCAATGAGTCCACCTCCGCCAAAAGCTGGAGTCAATTAATGGCTACTAGTATGGCGTCAGACAATGATGCTGAAGCAGAATTTAACGCCATAAAAACTGAAATGGAGCGTTTGATCGAGGAGAACAGAACACTTAAAGCTGCAGCATCGGAGGTTTGCAGCAATGATCTTGCCAAGCACTTTCCCGGTGATACGGCAAACAAGGCTGATCTTGATAGTCTGGAGCTGGAGAATGGACAATTGAGGGCTCAGTTGAAAAGTTTACAGGAACAAGTGGCCGCTGCAGCAGCTTTTCCACCTTCGACTCCACAAACGTCCGACAGCAACTTATCACTAGGTAATGCAGAGGAGATTCGGGCTTTGAAGAGCAAGGTGGGTTATCACATCTTGTCTTTACTGACGATTGCCATTCCTGTTGCTTACAATTTATAAACAAATAACGTAGCTTTCAATAGCTGATGCCTCATATCTTAACGCTCAGAAAAAGGTGTGCAAGTTGTATAATGTGCTTCTATTTTGAAGTCTTGGCAAATGGCAAGTTACTAAATTCTGCTTGTTTGTTAGATTCAACATCTTGAGACAGACCTTGCTGTAGCTTTGAGTAAAAACGTAGCGAGTGCCGAATCAAACGACGAAAAGGATCAGAATTCTGAGAAGAACGGAATCGATTTGCAGTCACAATTTCACGAGATGGAGATTCGTCTGACTGGATTGCAAACTCAATTGGATCAACAAAAGCAAGATAGTCAGGTTAAGGAGTTAACTGCTGTCGAGCGTTACGCAAAACTGAAGTCGACAGCTGAGGGTGAGATCAACAAGATCAAGGAGCAAGCCAAAAAGGCCATTCTAGATCTTAAGCGTAAGCTGGACCATGCGTCCAAGGGACAGCAGCGCGATCAAGTGTTAATTTCGAATTTAATAACAAACGTAAAAGCTCAGCGTGCAAGTTTTATGGCGCTTAGGTCGCAAGTCCTGGCTCAACAGCAGCAAATTCCAGTTTTGGCAAAACATCTGGCTGACAAGATGATGCAGCGTGTCGAAAAGCAAAGTAATGCTATGGCTGGTGTTGTGGATAACTACAAACGCGAGATGAAGGAGCGGAAACGTCTTTTTAATCTTGTTCAGGAGCTGAAAGGAAACATTCGCGTATTATGTCGTGTTCGTCCGATCTCAAGAAATGAAATTGCTCAGGGAAGTAAAATGATCTGCCAGTGCACCCCTGAGGAAATCACGTTGACCGGAGAGAAGGGAAAAGTTAAGACTTGGGAGTTTGATCATGTCTTCGATACAAACTCAATGCAGGACCAACTTTTTTCCGAGGTAAAACCTCTCGTTACTAGTATCTTGGATGGCTATAGTGTATGCATCTTTGCTTACGGCCAGACTGGTTCAGGCAAGACATTCACGATGTCAGGATCTCCGGAGAATCCAGGCATCAATACACGTTCGCTGCAAGAGCTTTTTGCGCGCAAGAATGAACGTATGAAAGAATATCAGGATGAGATTACTGTAAGCATTATGGAGATTTACAACGAACAAATTCGAGATTTACTAGCTCAAAACGCTGCGAGCACAAATTTGCAGGTGCGTCAAGGTTCCATGGGCAATTTTGTCCCGGGCTTGACGATCGTACCAGTGCAGACTTTAGAAGAAGTGTTTGAATTTATCAAGTGTGGAAACAAAAACCGCAGTACGCATGCCACAGACATGAACGAGCACAGTAGTCGTAGCCATTCGATCCTTTCCGTGCAATTGAAAAGCCTGAACTTCGTCACCAACGTCGTCACTGTTGGGAAACTTTTTCTCGTTGATCTTGCTGGTTCCGAACGACTCTCAAAGACAGGAGCTGAGGGGCAGCGACTGAAGGAGGCACAAAATATTAACAAATCACTTTCAGCTCTCGGCGACGTCATAGCTGCTCGAGCTAGCAAACAAAAGCACGTGCCATACCGGAATTCATATTTAACTTACCTGCTTCAGGAGGCACTTGGTGGCGATTCAAAAACTCTCATGGTTGCTTGCGCAAGTCCGGTCGATTACAACTGCGAAGAAAGCTTTTGCACACTCAATTTCGCTGCCAGGACGCGCAGTGTTGAAATGGGCAAGGCCACAAAGAATGTTGCTTAAGCAGCCATTGCGACTTTACTTTAACCGTACTTATAATGCTAGGCAGTGGCGAAGTCACAAGTCACGAATTCTGTCATACCCTTCACACTGCCTCTTATAAACGAAGCATAATATCACTTGCATTCATTTAACAACTCACTCGTTTTCAGGCTTGGCGTTTTCTTCAATGACAAGCCTTTATTCAGTTCGAACCTCTGCTATTTACTCGATTTTTAAGAAATAAAATGGTAAATGAAACTTTACTGCTCTTAGACGTCGTCTTTTTCACTTGCGTGTGGCTCTTCAGCATTGCGCGTAGGTCGCACTCGCTTTCGAGGAGACAAAGGATTCGCTAGGACGTCAGTCATTGCTTCGCGTTTTTGTAATATTGATTTTTGTCGCTTATTATGGTCGAGTTGCTGACCAATTGCCACCAGGTCTGCTTCGACAGAATCACCAGCAGCTCTTTTCTTTTCCACAATATCAGTTTTAAGCACGGCGTTTTGATCTTCAACTTCCTCTGCGATAGATGTTTTTTGCATCGGTGTTGGTTCTGAGCTAGCCGATCGACGTTTTTTCTTCAGCGGTGGTGAAAGCATCAAATCAGATGAAGCGAGATTATTTTCAAGGGCAGGAATGATCGATGCCTGGAAATCAAACAAAGCCCGCCAACGCGAATCTAGTTCTTCACTTTCTACAGGAATATCGCATAATGTGTTTAGTCGCTCCATGAAATATTCGCGCAGCTGTTCCATGCCTGAGCTGTCCAAGTGTGATAGGTAAGCGCGCATGATGTCTAAAAATCCAAACTGTGCTTGTCGATCGAGAGCATATCGAACGCCTTCACGCAAAAATCGAAGAAAAGGCGTACGCAACGACGAAGAAATTTTTCCAATGCCAAAGGATTGACTAAATCGTTTTGCCAACTCTTTGAGCTCCCGCTCAGTGCTTCTCAGCTTTTCTTTCAATTCCTCTTGCTCTGGAACCTCATCTCTGTTGCCATTGTTAGCTTGAGCTGCATCAACGTCTTGCTTCCACATAAGAATTGAGGCAAACATTCGCCGAAGTACCGTCATTTGAATTTCCAAATATCGCACGGGCGCATCAATTTTAATATGCTTGCCAAATTCTTTCACAACTTCAACACTTGGCTTCCCGCTTGAAGTATAGTATTGCAGGACTGCCGCTGCTTGGTGCTTCTTACTTGGATTACACAGTGCCACTCGGCCAAGCGCAATGAGCATCTCAGCCTTCTTTTGTTGCTTTTGTTGCCAATCACGAAAAGAATGTGCAGCCTCAGAATCATGAACTTCGAATTCATTTTCAAGTTCTGGTTCGTCCTCTTCGGCCTCATCCATCTCACTCTCAAAATGCATTTGTGTTAAAAGAACAAGAGCTTTTGGTAACTTCCACTCCAACGCATCGTATGGGGTTGTTGCCTCAGAAAATTTCTCCACAAACAAGCATCGAACATCGCAAAGCGTTAAAAATGCAAAGCGTTGGACCTCTTTGATGTACGATATCACATTATCGTCCTGCACTAGTTCTGCGTCAATATTTTCTTCGCTTTGCTTTAGCTTCTCGTCTGCGACTTCGTTTGTCTTCACTAGGTGCATTTCCAGCACAGACAAGAGCGCCTCTTCAAGCTTGGATCTCAATTGACACATTTTTTGAATTTGGATCTGGATAAAGGAATCAACTTCGTCAATAGCAAGTTCTTCAAAATCATTTTTCTTCTTATTGTCATCTTCAATTGCCTTAAAAATTGGGGCGGTGGTCCACAAGAGGTCGAAATAGATGATGGTTAGAATGTGCTTTATGGTGTCAACATACCGAAAACCTTCATCTAACCCCAAAGAAGATTTAGTCCGTCGATGCAGTAATTCTCCCAGCGCAATGACGAAATTTTCCATCCGTCCTTGCTTCAAGTCTGGCTCAAAAGCGTGATCATTCCCGCTTGCTTTCGATTCCGACAGAACTGAAGGAAGATACTCCCGAATATTCAAGTATTTCACCAAACATTTGATGCGGCAGAGAGAGATTCGCAAATTGTAATCAACGTCTGATATATCTCTAGTCAGGGCACTCTTTTTCTTCCTTCCTTTAGCCTTTTTGGTTCTTGTTTTGGGTGTGTCACTTGCCACAATCGCCACTTTTTCAAATAACTTTTTGTCTGCTTCCAGATAGCGTTCTGTTTTAGAAACGATTTCTTGAATCAGCTCATGCACTATAACTTCTGCTTCTCGTTTCAATGACGAATGCTCCGTTTGTAGTAAGTGAGTTATGGCAAGTGATAAGCTTGTTAGCAGCTCATCATTCGAATGCAATAGGTATGCGTGCTTCAACATTTCGAGAAGTTCTTTTGCATGGCTGCTGTGATGGCCAATTACCTCACTTTTAAGTGTTAGCATCGGTATCAATTCCAAAATTAATGCCAATTTGTCCGGATCGGCTTGATACAAAAGCAGCAAACTGGGAATATCTTTGCAGTATGCCACAGTTACTTCTTCCTATATTAACCGCAGAATCAAAATGACCAGCATTATACCTTTGACTGTGATTGTTAAGCAAACAAAAGGACGTACCCGTATATTTTCTAACTCTTTCTTATTAGCGTTGGCATTGCCAACAAGCTTTCGAACAGAGGCTACAAGTAGGCGAAGCAAAATGGTCTGCTGGTCACTACTTAGGTCTGGCGCACTTTTGTCCACTAAGAGCAGATCCGTCATAAGACGCCATTCCTGGAGAACGACTTGAATCATATACCATTAGTCTCAAATAACATAAAAATGCTGCAGCAAGCACTACTTACGGCAATCTTCCAGACCCCAAAAAGCATCCACAAGAGTTTCTACTGCGCTCTCTGGTACAGAGTAATTTTGAATGTATTCCTCTGCAAATTCCACGAGAGCAATTGCTTGGGTATTAAGCTGCTCCTTTTTCAATTTTGCGTTCTTAGTCTTTGAAACAGCCACGCCAAATGCATCATACTGAAGGCAAACAAACTCCGCAGCGGCTTTGCGAATAGCCTCATGCTCTGTGTCGAACACCAGTTTTTCGACTGACTGAAGCTCAATTTCTGAGCTGATAAGACTATGCTTGTCAACCGCGATAAGAAGATGAATACACTGCTCTACAACAGCGTCGTCCACGTCGTTGCAGAGTTCTAAATAGCGCGGCAGAAAGCGAGCGGTGAATAAAGTCAGCCTATCTGTGAAAGCATCGTTCTCGTACAGCTCGCACAAGATCTCAACCACTTCTAGGCGAACTAAAGCCGATTTGTCACTCAAAAGCCAGCCTAGATATTTCAGAAAATTATCCTTTAGGAATTGGTCAGGGAGAGTGATGATCCAGTGCCCAAGGCACTGAATAGTCACCACACGAATTTCTGGCATAACATCACGATACCGGCGCACCACAACTCCAGTAAATATCAGGTTAATGAGCTTCAATAGCTGTTTCGATCGATTCTCATAGAATGTCTTGCTGTCCTTTAAGTGTGAAAGCTTCCTAATGTTTGGGCTATTACCAGTACCGGATGACGAGATTGGAGACTTCACCTCGGCGTCGAACTGTCTCTTAACAATAGCTAACTGCTCAGAATTTTTTGATGCTGAGCTGACTAAAGCGTTGCTCAACGACAGCACCGCAAAAGTTGCAGTATGTCGAATTGGTCGTATTTCTGAGCTGTCAACAGCAAACAAATTATAATTAGTGGAATCTGCAGGCACCAGAAGTAGCAACAATCCAACCTCGACAACGTCGTCAGCCAATCGATGAGGTCGTTGGCCAAATTAGAAGTGAACAAAATCTCGCTTTCGTAAGACTCCCTCACGAATGCATCCCAAAATATCTCAAAGTTAAATTGAAATTTTTTCATGCCTTTGGCACGAGAAATGAGAGGATATTCTCCTTTAATATTTTCAAGATCTTCCACAATATGATCGACAAGAAGGCCCATATTCAGCTGATCTAGCGATTCTGATTCAGGAGCGCACTGATTCTTGCCTCCACAAGCCTGACGATTGGCAAAAATGTCAGATATATTCATTTTTAAATAGCCAAGAAATAATTCATGCACCTGCAACACCAGATTAAGCACCTCTTTCATAGCCATCTCGTAATCCTTCTCAAATCGATCACGCCATCCGGTCAGCAAAGTTTCTAACGACGACTTACCGCTCTTAACTGCTTCTGCATTTATCAGCCGGGCAGCTCAAGTTAATGCTCGACAAAACATTTGGCATGGTGATTTTAAAACTAGCACATACCAAACAGCAAGTCTTTGACATCTGTATGCTCATTGTCTTCCAATTTATTTTTTTTTGGATCCGCAAAATTCTTGCCCGTATTTGCTCTTGCAGCTGACCGCATCCTCCTCGTGTGGCTCCATGGTGAGCATTTGGGTCTTGCCGATTTTGATACGGTGCTTAGAGCCCGCGTCGGTGTTTCTTTACGAGAGCTTTCACGTGGTTTAGCTTTGGTGCCAGCAGGCGTAAACTCTTCATCCTCGCATTCCGGTCCATCGTCACTACAGAACAAGAATATATTAGACTTTCACGAGCGTGCAATTACATGAGATTATGGCACTTTATAAACATCAGGCAGATCGAAGTGCCAGCAGCCGTCACTCTTGTGCGCACTGGATGCGTACCTGCTTTCTTCGTCTCGTCCGTTTTCTATGGACGCGTCTTGCTTCTCTTCTCCATCAACTCCATCGCTTGCAAAACCACGCGTATCTTCTACCTGATAGATTGTCGCTGGCTTACGCCGCAGTCGCGTTCCCCGCCGCGCACTCATGTCCTAGGTTACTTTTGAAAGAAATTTATGCGTTCCGGCAGTACGAACCTATCATGGTGTGTGCACATCACATTTACCGATTGAAGCTTTAAGTAACAGGGACTATTGTGGTAACTGCTCGCCTAATGCAACGCATTAAGCAGAATTTTGTTATGGAAGTGTAAATTTGAAAGGAATAAAAGTGGCACCGTGATTTGCATTCTGATTAGTATGGTAGAGCTCATATTCAATATTGCGAAAGCAGCAACGTCTCGATATAGAAGTTTCCTTCACCCCCAGCGTCCTACATTCACTCCACCCGTGATGACAAGCGCAGGCGAGCAAAGCAAGACCATCATGCTATATCATTTACCCTGCCAAAAGCCAGAGAATGATATTGGCCGATTCGCGTGACGATGTTGCACGTATTGGCATGGCTCCTATGATTATTGCAGCGGTGTTGCTGAGCACTTCGCGCAGGGGAAGTTTGACTCGATGAGTCTGCGTTGATAGACGCACAGAAAATAGATTCTTAACCAACCAACTAGGCACCTGGTTTGCACTAAAGTTTGAGAGCGACATATTTCCTTAATGAAGTCTGACTTTGATTTACACTGATACTTAATGTGGTATACAGTCTATACAGTCTACGATGACAAAATACTACGTACTGCTTAGCGTGTTTAGCGTGGGTCTTGCAACTTCGTGTGCCAAAGATCTCGCCTACCCATTCCTCGGCCGAACCAGTGCTTATCATGATACTTCATCATGATATGTCATCATATCATGCGTTGGTACTTTTGTAACATAATTGTACACTAAATGCGATACGAACCCTATTACCCTCACTCACCGAAATGTCACGTCAATTAGTCAATCTGCCATCAGAAATTGTCATAAATAAAAACCATAAATTAATGTATCGTTAATGGAACGAATCTCTGAGGCCGATGATTGGCATAAGGCAACAAATCATCATTCTGTAACAATGTCGGTCGGTACCTGTGGGACTTCAACGAGTCGTCAATTTTTTTGGAATTGAGAGAGTATTCATCGCTTCTTGTCATTTGAAAAAAGGGCAGATTTGGCTCCAGTTATTAGATGATGAAAGTCACTACGTGTTTGCGGGTACTGCGGCAGCTTCGGTGTCAGCAAGTGATGATGTTCAAGCTATAACTTTCATGCGAAATTCGATCGCACTCAGTCTCGAGGAAGTGCAACTCTTGCCCATGTTGCATCGAATCGTCTAATAATTTTTCGCGGACATAAAGGCGTAAGGAGAAGACTCTAGAAGAATATGTGCCGATTGGTACCTTTGGTAGCTCGAAGAAAATGCGCTCATCGTGCTGGTGCCGAAGAAGCGTCAACTCAAAAAATGTTTTGGAACCAAAGCTTTCGGACGTATGAAAAAACAGCGAAGTGAAAGGCTCGATTGACGTGAGCTGCAATTTGACAATGGCATGGAACAAATGGTTGGAAAAGTATTCCAAAGAGATTTTTCACTATAACAGTAACCTAAGGCTTGCAGGAGTATTGGGACCTCTATGATATCATCAGCAACAGTTGATATCAAATCGATTGCTCCGATGATTTCTTGTTGTTGGTTATTCTGGGATCGATAAGTTGGTGTTTGGGGTGTTCTTGCTACTGATGTTCTTGGCGGAGCGAACGAATGTGGCTTACCGTTGTCTTAATGATAAACTGATCGACTTTACTTGGGGCATCTTTGCACATATATGCCGTATGGATTGTTTGATGAAAAGGGAATCGGTGAAGCATCGTGGCTTCGTAAATTTGACCGCGCGTTTTTGTTCGCCGATTTATGCCATCAAATTTAAAAACGGGTTTGCCAGGTCACTTTGCTTTGAGGTATATATGAATCCATGATGGACCAAGGTTGAGTGCGGAATATTCGTCGATGCGATTAACTTGAATGACAAAGGCGTGTGGTTACGAAAATTCAATCTGGTTAGGGGCAAACCAAAAATTATGTTTTAATCAGGTCATGAGTCTGATTACTTGGTACAATGTGTCATAGCAAGCACCTGTAGAAATCTCAAAGAGATTAAGTACGATAATCGGCTTCGCGAGCAGAGCGGAATCGATGATCCTAAAGGATTACAATTCGTTTCATTTGTATCGAGACAAGAACACGCCCAGCCGTGCTAACCCAGTTTTTTCATCTTTTGCTGTCGGGACGATTCCAAAAGCGTATTTTATATATACTTTCTCCGACAAAATTCACGTTTTGATGCGGACTTAAGCCTTGATTTAGCAGTCGTGGCGAGGCAGAAAAATGCCATATAAACTGCTGCATGAACTTGCTGTCAGCAAATTTTGAATGAAAGACCTTGAAGGAAAAAGTGTCGGGACCATGACGCAACATGGTCCACTAAATGCAGCGTTCGAGGCCTTTAAAGCGTCATCCGAAATCCAAGATAAATTGATGCAGTACATTCTGCTATCAAACCATTTCCCAGCAATTGATGCTGTACTTGTGATCCCACAAGATGGTCTACAGTGGCCAAGATTCTTCCACCAATTATCAACTTCAAAAAAAGTTCTACCCGGCATTGACGCAGCGCTAAGACTTTCAAGGCTATACACACATCCTTCTCTTCGTCGATACGAACGAACTCTACGACGGTTTTACTGTTTAACTCTTCAGAATCGCGGAAGGACTGAATCACAGAGATATCGACGTGACGCAGTATGTTGGGAAAATCTGTCGTCTATAGATTAAACTCGAAAAATTTGTCTACAATCACCTGTGGTCATGCTTGCTCCGAGGCTCACGAATCTCGACCTGCCCGCTCTTGATGCAATTTTGTAAAAGATTTTGCTAAGATTATTAACGAAAAGCCAACCGCGGTGCCCTTGTCGAGTTATATGGTCACATTTCCAATTTGATAAAACAAGATATTCAAATGCAGTTTACTTAGTGCTGCGCATCTTTTTCCGATTGATGAATGATGCTGGAATTTGCTTGAAAAGTGACTAAGTTTGACAGTCTACGGCCTCGTTGTTTGCTATCTACGCCTTCGTGTCCCATATGATGCCGTCATTCATTTATTTGCTCAAAGCGATGATCGCTTGACTTGTTTGCTTGAATTAATCTTTAGATTTTGTTCGTCAGCTTCTGAGGCGCAACGTTCTTTTCTTTCGTCGAGTACCTTGAACTTCAAAAATACTCGTTTGCTCTGTCATGAGTTCAAGTGTTTAACTAAAGCCAGCTACATTGTAGCTAAGAGCTAGAGCAGGCAGAGCTTTTTGACTGCAAAGAATTCTGAAATAGGGTCAAAACGAAAGACATTTCGTGTTAAATTAGTATTTAAGACACAAGTGCTGGTGGTATTGTAGATATAAGTGAATTCCCATAAAAAATATTAGTTTAACTAATCTTGGTACTCAGAATTCGTATTATGCATAAGCCACATTCAATAAGCGAACGCAATTTTCTTACGTACACTCAAAAATTGCTAATTTTCACGATACAAAACTTTGTAAAAGCAGCTTTGATGCTTATGAGCTGACAAGAAAGCTATGTACTTTGCCAACCGATCTGTAACGAACATTGGCGCGAGCAGATCAATCAAGGCTTTTAAGAGAAACATGTTGACGATTTTCTTATTCATGCAAATGTATTCTTGGGTCCCTCTTAACCAAAACCAAATCCTTCGGATCCTTCGCGAATTGCAAGCAATAGACACTGCTTTAATTTCTCCTCATTCTCGTACTCAGGGAGGTCCAGCTGATTGAAACTGTTAACATAAAACAAGTTAGACATTGTAATGAGTGCAGTTTGAAACATTGCTCACCAGGTATGAGCAGACGGTAAGGCACTGTTATTACCAAAGGCTTTGTGAATGTTAAACTTTTGTGTGCCACGCATTCCCTCGAGTGCCTTAAAACCTTCCAGTGGCACCTTGGACGTACCAGTTACAAATTGCAGAAAGAGTGCGCGCTCTTCATGAGTGAATGCATACAGCACATTCCAGAACCATCGAATCACTGAGTCGGTGGGCTTGTAGTTGGCATATTCCGTGTTGGCCTTCAAGTCATCAATGTCAATTTCAGGCATACCAGAGATTAAGAGCTCCAGCTCATTCTCATTAAAGATGGCGATAAGTTCAGGTGGCACTAGCTGATGAAAACCTTTTAAAAATGCATCGATTTGTTGCCGAATACCTGTAGCCATGCGATGGTGTGTCACGAGCTTTACATATTCCATCTTGTTTTCATCCGTCACGGACACATGACGGCCATCAGGAATTAAATCAACTATCTCCACTTTGCCGAAATTCGACTGCTCTGCAGAGAAGGTTAGCTCTAAGCCAAGATCTGCAATTGAATTGTCCAATATGGAGTGAAGATTGCGATAGTATTCCGGGTCAATAGCTTCCATATCGTGGTACGTAATCGGCAACTGCAGGATGTGCTTGTAAAAGGACCGCGTGAAATGAGCGTCCAGAAGCTGTCCATCTGCTACCGCCTTACCTAGCACCTTTCCGACGAACTCAAAATAACTTAAATGATCTTTATTCACGTAAGAAAGCGGATTTGGCTGGAACGTAGGTGAGTCTGCGGCCGAAGTGAAGAGCACGTAGTTCGGATTAAACATCTCTCGCGCCAAAATCATGTACCATTCTCGTGTAACTCCACCAGCATCAATGCCTTCTTCACCTGTAAATGAGATATGCAGTTTTCGTCGTAATTCTGTACCACTGCGCATTCGAAGTGCATAATACGAATCCTCAAAGATATGGTCACGACGTACTGGAATTCGTACAGAGGAGCTACCACCGCCGTGGTTCCGCAATGCAGCTTGACGAAGACGCTTCATGGAGCTGTGGAAATATGTGCGTTTGTTATCGAAAGCCAGGTAAGCTCGGCAGCGAGGAATTTTAATCAGAGCTGCCAGAGAGCTATCCAAAAGTGCCGGTTTCTCACGCACAAGAAGATTTAAAAGAACGCGATTCGACTCTACGAAGTTAGCTAGTCTGATGGCTTCACTTGCCTCAGATAAAGAGGATAGAGCCGACGAAGTGCGTTTCAGTGTACTCTTTACGAAAGTGTTTTGATCTTTATTCTCTTCAAAAGCACCGGTTCCCGTGCCATCAAATCCACCAACACGCAGTGCTGCCACGATAGTCTCTTCGCGTTCATTAGAATCAGGTACACGCAACGACATTGATGCTGCGTCTCGAGCATTAACCACAAAGAATGCTTCAACTAGAGGAAGGAACCTTGCTAGCAGCGCAGCCATCGCGCACGAAGCACCTGCACTCTTTCCCTCAATCACCATTCCATCAGCATCTTCCGTGGCTGCACCTGCATCAGTTAACGAAGGCACTGACATTGATGAGGCTCTCATCGTAACAGAACCATTAGCAAGATTGTCCTGGTCATCAAGACCACCCGAAGCACGAGCTTTAGTAAGCGATAGGCTCAGTGCATCCCACAGTGGGTCTAAGCCGATTGTTTGACAGCATTCAGCGAAATTTGCTGTACTCTTGCAGATATCCGACAAAGAATGGAGCAAACGTAAGAGTTTAAGCTCATCTTGGGCGGAAGGTAAAACAGCTGATGATTCATATCCAGCACTATCAGCGGACATTTTCCTTCCCTTATTAAGATCAACATGAGATAGTTTGCATGCATGCTGTACAATCGCACGGATTCCAAGCTCGCTGTTGGCGTTTACATGATTTAACAGCTTTAGCACCGCCAGAGTGCGCTCCTGCATTTGATTAGTACAAAGATCCATGCACAGCACAGACACGATCTCACTCATACGCACTTCATCAAGCTTCACGATAGGGACTGATACCCACTCGTCTCCATACTCCGGAGTTACAACATCTCCTTCGTCACCTTCCGCCTTCTCTTCATCATCGTCTGGCTGATGCAATCGCGCTAAAGGTGAAAAAAGGAGCTCAAGCAATTCTAGCAACGCATCCAAATTTGTACCATTGCGGTACACGACGGGCAAGGCCAACAAGTCGACAAGAACAGCTGCACCACACTCATCAGTCAGAGTCGCCTGAACTTTGTCTGCCTCAACTTCTTGATCCGATTTTCGACGCATGCCATGAGGTTTAAGCATTTCCAGCGTAAACCGTGGATTGTACTTGGCTAGCGACACAAAAACATGAAGCATGCGGTTCACTAATTCAGCAGGAATAGAGGATCCTGTTATCACACGCATTCCATCAATGCCACAGCCATACATCCTGCTTGGAGGAAATTGAATGTTGCCGCTTCCATCGTCATCGTCATCCTTCTCTTGACCAGGAACTAGAGGTTGTGAGAGAGGTAGCGATATTATGCGCAGCAAGTTACGTCGGACGCAAGAGCGCGTCAGCGGGTACAAACAAATATTGGCAAGCAGCCGTTGGAGCACGCGATTCTGAATGACTGACTGAGTCATAAATATTAGGCGAATGACACCACGTACACATCGGTCGTCGAAAATCCGCTCATCAGGTTTCTCTTCTTCGTCTTTTTCAATCTGCAAGAAGCCTTTGCGACTTTGAGAGTAGCCATCTACACGTTGAATGTCGTGGCTGCCATGACGCCCTCCACCTATTTCATTGTAGAACAAGCGGGACCGCCGAAGACTTCTTCCTCTTTCAGAACTGTGAGAATTTAGCATACGTCGCAATGTCGGGCGATTAAAAAGTTCATCCATGTCAGCATCACCACCACCATCATTCCGTTCTTCAGTTCCACGATTTCGGTCGCGATACGTTGAGCGAAAGGCTGCGCGTTCACGCAGCACCGTGGCTTCAGCACGGACTTGAGATGGCAATGTCTGCAAAAACGCTTCGTCACAAGTTACCAGAATTTCCTCACGCAATTCTGGAGCCAGGGAAGCCACGAATGAAGCATTGTCCATTTCTTGAGCGCGTGAGGTGTCAGCTGTTTCCGCACGGGCAGCCGCTTCACGCTCGCGACGTTCATTTTCTAGCACTTCTGCACGAATGTCTGGTGGCAATGCCTCTAGTGTCTCACGATCAAAACTGGAGTTGGCCATATCCAGATCAATTTGTGACATACTCTCCGAACCAACGCCCCCACCTCCAGACGTTGCAGCATTGCTGAACACACTTGCAGATCCAACAACTGCAGGTGTGTTTTGCGCAATGATCTCCGCCTGCATGTCCGAAGGCAATGAAGCAAATACCTCAGCGTCCATACCTTCAGGGCATCGATAGTGTTGCTGCTCTCCTTGTTGTTCTGGCAGCGCGGCAGGCGTCCCATGCGGCATAGTTTCTGCAATAGATGCTTGCGAGTCAGTCAATGGTATTTCCTCCGACTTTGATTCTTCTTCAATAGTCACACCGTGGCTAGTGTTATCGCTGAGGGCAGGAAGCGCGCCGAATCCCGATAGGTCCAGCGTGAAATTCATCATGGCATCTGATGTTGAGAGGGATGCAGACGTCCCCGGAAGGGTAAAAGGTACTGGAGCAGGAGGTGCCATACTCTCGATAGTACTTCCTGGTAAAGAGGTCACGGCTGATGGTAATTCAACGACTGCCCCTTGGCTTACTGACACGCTTTCGGTGTCTGCAATGTCCACATCAGCATCAGATAGAGGCGGTGACCGTAATAATGAAGTTTCTCCTAATGTACTTGTAAGTTCCAACACCGAAGCAGCATCTGTACCCGTTTCGAATCTATCAATGCTATCTCTATTCGATATTGTATTGAAGCGAACGTCACAAGCTTCTGCTATATTAGAAGCTCGACCATCAGTTTGAGTACGCTCTCCACTTCGTAAGGTTCCACCACTACCACCTTCCATGACACCATCAACATCCTGAATTGATGCTTCTGCATGACTTTGCCCAGAATCTGAGATAACTGCTTGGTCGCCATCATCGGCACAGATGCGCGTTACCTGTTGCTCGAGTCTGGAAGCCACCGATCGAGCATTTGCACTTCTACCCATTGCGCCCGGACCCCAAATCGCAGAACTCGATGCGGCACGTCCTATGATATTGCCGCTGCGGCTGGTAAGTCCACGAGATAAGTCGACACCGACAAAAAAGTTACCAAATATATCGCGATCACCTCGTCGTAAGCTGAGACGCTGATTACGCTCTGGCAATATCGAGGCTGGAATGTCCAGGGAGAACTCACTTAGTAGATTAGAAACTGCAGACAAACGATTTATACGACTAGGAGGTCGTCCTCGACTTCCTAAGCCGACACGTTGCAAGGGTTCTTGCCCCAAAGCCGAACGAGATCGGCTGCCAGCCAGAGGTGGTTGCATCTGAACCTGGTCGGTCAGGTCTTGCAGCTCACGCAGGAGTGTCGAATGGCGAGGTAGCGAATATTGGTCAGAATTGTGCAGAAATTCAAGAGAGTTCAAATAATGTGGATCACTACGCCCACTCATGCGCAGCATAGGGTGCATCGTACCGTTAATTTCTGGGTGGTCTCCTGGGCCCCCTGGCTGACGTTCACGGCGTGTCCGATCACTCCTCCCACCGTTGTCATCTGATTCAAAAAGTAAGCTGTCATCGAGCATGTCTGGTAACTCTTCAATATACTGAAGAAGTGAGTTTGCCATCCTGCTAGCATCCAATCGGTTTTGCACTCCTAAAAATGATCCAAGTCCTCCTCCACTGCCTAACCGATTTCTACGTGAAGCGATATCTAATTGTGCTTCCCCGTCTACGCGTTCGTCGTTTTCTAAATCTCCAAAAGTTAGCACGAGAGTCTGTCCATCAGGAGTAGAGTGTAGTCCAAAACCACCGCTAGCATCGTACAAGCCAAGCGCGTCGCGCATGGAGTCGACGAGGCGGTCCTCAGAGCTTCTTGAGCTCTCGTCATTACGAGCTGGTGCAGCAGATTGAGCTGTTGCAAAACGAAAGCGACGTCGTTGCTCTTCAGTAAATAAAGCCTCATCATCGAGTATGTGCAAGTAGGAATATTCCTCTTCGTCCACTTCATCAAGTGCATCCAAACTTGAAAGATCCGAATCCAGAGATCCCCATGTACGACTGGAAGAGATACAGCGATTCGGACCAGGACCACCCGTTCGTCGAATAACATGAAGACGATGGTGCGCTCCATCCTCGTCTTCGCCTTCAAAATCATCATCTTCGTCTTCATCGTCTTCATCTTCATCATCTTCATCATCGTCGTCGTCTTCATCATTGACTTCCTCATCCTCCTCATCTTCATCCCCGTCTCCTTCGTCAGTAGAATGATTAGAGTCACTACTACTGTCGCTGTGCTCGTCTTCACTGTGATCCTCATTTTCGATTCCGGCACGCATGTCATGGTCGCCTTCTGCAGACAACGGAGATCTCATGAAAACATCATCATCATCCTGGTCGTGCAAAGGACAAGAGCGAGACTCCGCACTATCATTCGCCCCTGGAATATCGAGATCTTCTTCCATCGTGCCACCTTGGCCAAAGAATGTATCCGTACTATTCGAAGCTACAGCAGAAGGTGTCACGGCGACTAATACCCGACCGCTTACCGACTGATTTTGACTACTAACAGCGTCACCTGAGGCAGTTGGCCTATGATTCCGCTTTTTAAGTAGACGCCTCACTCGGTGGGTCACAAAGGACCGCGTCAGCGTAGATAATGGACGCAAAGTCATGGTGCAGGTCGCGTGTGCTAAATGGTGGGTTAAGTCAATTTTGCAAAGTGCCTCAGCTAGAAGGTTCACAAACGAGTGTTTGCCCTTAAAACCTTTTCCTAGGACCTTATCCCACGCGAATCCCTTTGACGACCCCTTGGGCCATAGAATACTCATAATCAAGCCTGACCAGGCGTGCAATAAGGTCAGTGCACGTTCGTCACGTACGCTCGGGTCGTCGTTCGCGCTAGCTAGATCTACTGTAATGCTCTGCGGCCATTCTTGGAGCAGATTTACTAGCTCAGAGATGATGCACTTCGAGCCTTCACCCGAATGACTACCGACACCTACAAGCAGTCTGTGAGCGTTGTACACGCGCATCCTGGTACGACTGTCAACGAATGATTTAACATCTGCAATTAGCAAATCTGCATCGCCCCCACCGAGTCTGCTGTTTCCATAGTAACCATCCTCTCTCAATGATTTGCGGGCCGCAGCAAACCGACATAGTTCACGAGATGGCAAACATTCGGAGAGTAAGAAACGAACGAAGCTGCCTCGCTCTCCACGCAAATCAGCATCAGCTTTTGCTTTCGCCAGCACTGCCGCGCATGCAGGAAAATGTGTGATCAAATGAACAAGTAGCTGCAAGTACACTCCAACGCATGTCTCCGCTGGCGAAGTGTTGAATATCTGTTGCGCATCAAAGTCCACCATGATATGCTGTTCGACGTCCCACAAACGCCGAATGCGTCCAATCACCTTGTGCACAATGATGTGAGCCTGATGCTTATGATCTTTCGGCAGCTTATGCAACGCTTTATCCGCCCTTGCTGCATCGTTTTGATCCGACGGTGGTTGAGGCTGATCCCCAGACTGCCCTGATATTGTTTCGCAGCTGTCCGTCTTTTTGGGCCTCGGCACGATATACGTTCGACCTGATTCACTCTTCTTTACCCAGACTGAATTCTGCAACGCTTTCAAAAGCACAGATTCATTACGAACCGCAAATGAAGCGACCTCTGCCAGCAACGCACGTGGCGTGATCCGCATTTGACTTGGCGCGCCAAGCCGTGTCGACAGTTTGGTAATCGCCTGCCGGATTTTTTCTTCCATCTTGTGCTCCAGAATTTCAGGAGATTCTAAAATCTGCGAAAGCAATGTACACGTTACTTCTGGATATCCGACAAAGAACCAGTCGTTCGGAATATCCAGCACTGCATCAAGCCCACCGTGGGCAAAAAAGTACGATGCTAGATCATATCGGAGCGTTAGGTGCGACAAAAGTTGCCAGATTGCATGGATTAGTGCCTTGCTGTCATTGGTTGAATCCACTAAAGATCTTTGCTTTATGATTTTCAAGCAAGTGGTAAGGATGAGCAGTTCAAATGCTGTGTCCTCGGCCTGATTTGCTATTCCGTTGCCTTTGCTTTTGCTCTCTAGTTTATTCCAGTTGCTTGCTTCATCACTCACATGAGATTTCTCCGGAGAAAGTGACCTGGAAGCCTTGACTTGCTCTGCTGCCATCCCTGCTACCAAAGCGTCGAAAACTAATAGCACAGGAGTGCAAGACGGCTTCAGCTCATTACTTTCCAAGTTCGACACCGAAGCAACGAGATTGTCGATGCACGAAGGTGATTGAAGTTTCAATTGAGACCCTGATCCCGGATTTAGTCGAAGTACAAGCGCAAGAAGGTGGGCTAAAACTGTCAAATACTCATCTCCCTCTTCTTGGTTTCCATGAAAGTAATCCAAGATAGCACAATTTAGACGATCCAGCACCAGTTTACAATCTTCGTCTGAGCGTGAGCATAAATAACTGAGAAACTCGGCGATCGCTTTAACAGAATTTTGGCTTGGCTGAAGGCTCGAAATTTTAGAGTCCTTAATAGCTTTTGTTACCTCTGTTTTTACTTTGTAAGCCTGAACTCGTAGGATTTGAAAACACACTGCTTCAAAGCTATCCCTCAATAAATTATAAAACGCCTGTAGGTTTTCTTCCTTTTTTTTACCTTCTGTTGCTTCGTTGTTAAAAGAGGAAGCAGCCTCGACAGGTTCACTGACCTCACTCATCGACTTGTCCCGCTGAAATGAATCGTCTTCTGCCTCCCTTTCATTCTCTGGGTGACCTAGGATCCATTCCATAGCCAGCTCAACGTTATTCACCTGAACTTGACGAAGCGCAAGCTCCACTCGTGTTTGAGAAAAACCCATTGAAATCAAGTTGTCTACAATTTCGGGATCCGGTACAAATGGCTGTGGGGGACTACTCTCGCCCGATTCGGGGGTCCGACCACTTTGAGCACCTGTAAAGATTGCTCTTCGGAAAGACAGCGCTTCATTGAAAGGCTCAATGCTATGACTTCTGTCTAAGCTGGTAGGAGTAAGGCCTGAATTTTGCCGATGACCTGCGGCGCCATCTCTTGCTGTATCATCGCCGCGATCAATGCGATTTTTAAGAATAGTAACAGCAATTGGAACAATATTTGTCAGCCATGACTCCACAGATGAGCACGAGAACTTCGGTTTTTTCCAAATTGATAGCAATGCACTAACGCACATTGTATGCAGCTGTATCATGAGTTGTTTCGGTTCGAATAGCGCATCCTTTGACTCGCTTGATTCATCACTTGTAAGCAACGCTACCGTCAACGGCGAAGCAGACAGCGCTTCCAAATCGGACAGCTTCTGCAATAAACTTGCAGAAATGAGAAAGGATGTCATCACCATGTGCGAAGACTTAATCTCACCGCAATCACGAGTCATATCATATTCTTCTTGAAGAAACACCGTGAAAAATCTCTCAATAACATTCATCACAACATCCATAAGATTTGAGGCTGCAATTCGGGTCCTAGGACCAAAAGCAACTGTTTTGCCGTCGTTTTCTTCTTCTAATCCGATTTTTTTAATTGAAACTGCATCATCACCGGGAGCTGGGCGAGTTTTATCAAATACTTGCACCTCCGTAACATCAGCGATCGGTTTCAAGAGCTCGACGAGCAACAGAGTGTTGGCTTGCTTTTTCTTTCCATCAAAGAGAACAATGGAAATGGTCTCCAACAGAAACGTTAGATAATATTGCTGTACGAAAGAATCAATCTGAGTTGCACGATCTCCGGACAAAACGTAGAGCAGATGACCCTTTAAAACTTGGGTCGTCATCCGAGCGAGTGCTCGAGCATGCGGCGCTAACGGTACCACGATATCGTCTCCTCGACGATGTTGAGTCGGAGTCAGCAAAACCTTGCTGTATGCGGATAAAAGGCCACGCATGGTCAATGAAAAGCGCAGGAGCAGAAGTGAGCCCACTTTCCAAAGACCTACCCTTTGATGATTATCACTTTCAAGTAATTCCATGTTGGCGTCCGCTTCACCGTTTGCATCTTTCCCTATGCACTTTTCCTTGCGCTTTTTCTGGTGTAAAGTT